AGCAATGGCTACAACACTTACACTGCAGTGAACTTATTGATATTACATGTACACAGTCTGCAGCAATGGCTACAACACTTACACTGCAGCAATGGCTACAACACTTACACTGCAGCAATGGCTACAACACTTACACTGCAGCAATGGCTACAACACTTACACTGCAGTGAACTTTGCAATGGTATTACAGTCTGCAGCAATGGCTACAACACTTACACTGTAGCAATGGCTACAACACTTACACTGCAGCAATGGCGACAACACTTACACTGCAGCAATGGCTACAACACTTACACTGCAGTGAACTTATTGATATTACATGTACACAGTCTGCAGCAATGGCTACAACACTTACACTGCAGCAATGGCTACAACACTTACACTGCAGCAATGGCTACAACACTTACACTGCAGCAATGGCTACAACACTTACACTGCAGTGAACTTATTGATATTACATGTACACAGTCTGCAGCAATGGCTACAACACTTACACTGCAGCAATGGCTACAACACTTACACTGCAGCAATGGCTACAACACTTACACTGCAGCAATGGCTACAACACTTACACTGCAGCAATGGCTGCAACACTTACACTGCAGCAATGGCTACAACACTTACACTGCAGTGAACTTATTGCTATTACATGTACACAGTCTGCAGCAATGGCTACAACACTTACACTGCAGTGAACTTATTGCTATTACATGTACACAGTCTGCAGCAATGGCTACCACACTTACACTGCAGTGAACTTATTGCTATTACATGTCAACAGTCTGCAGCAATGGCTACAACTACTTACACTGCATTGAACTTATTGATAGACTCCAACTATGAATATTTTAATGAGCTGCGTATAGTTAAATATTTTTAGCTGTGAAAATAGAATTCTAAATGGAAATATTTTTTGTAGTGTCAATTAATCAACTGTCACCTCAACTATTGGGACGATCATTGAGTGAATCTGTCAGCAATATACATTTAAATAAATCTGGAATCTCATCTTTATATTTGAATACAACAATACATATTAGGTAGGCTGAAACACAAATAAATATTTCTGGTCACTCGACACAGCACAGCGCCCTCTGTTGGTGAACCTGCAAAATGTATACACTATTGCATATTTTAGCCAAAAAAAAATTGCCTCACAGCCCAATTTCAAACTCAGATTTGTTCAGTTTTGATTTAAATTGATTATAGACAGCATACTATGCCAGTGCTGTATACTGAAACATATCAGACAACACAGACATCCCTTTATAGATTAAATTAAATCACAGTATACATCATATCCACAATCCAAATATAGGGTTTCACATGAAGCTGTGCATAACATAGCGACTAAATGGTTGACTTATTGATATAATTACACTAAATATTTAAGTTAGATTTAGCAGTTTTAAAAACAGAGTAACATACATGCATCTACAATGGTATAGTTACTGATATCATAAAGATGCGATTCAGTTTAAGTCTAGTGAGACACCAACACTGATACTGATCTACCAATGACAGCCAGGTTTTGAAAACTACACCATGTACTATTTTAAGCCGTTGAGTAGACGCAACTGAACTGTAACTGAACTCACTTACCTAGAACAGTCTTACAGTAAAGTCATTGAAATGATAACAATATATTTATATGTTGTACAATTAAGTTTACACTACACATGCAGAACAGTGATATTATAACAACCTATATATTACCTGAAAGCTTAGATACATGTTTAGGTGAATAGAAGGGAGCCTATGCTATACCAATGTTTATATAAGGGATTACACAGTGGCCAATTTTACTACTGTAATTTTTTGACAAACACGCTACTGACAGATTTTCATGATTTGACGATTTAATGGCATTTGTGATGACAACATTTCTGAAAAGTCAGGATGACCTTTCATCTTTTTAGGCACCCAGTGTAATTTTTACTTTTACACAATGAATTGTGAAAATAGCAAAAATTTGTCTTTCAAAATTAAATCCATTGACAATATTTCAAAATATCTTTTAAATAAGTAGTAGTTTGAGATCAACTTCACAGAAATGTTTGAAGTGCACTCTCACTACAGCATTGGCTATATAGACGGCGCCCTCTGGAGATAATATTACAAAAAAATGCAGTATAATAATCTTGGCTTAAGTTGGTAAACATTGACTGATCACAGAAGGGATAATTTGTGAGTTAAAATCTTATAACCCCTGAATAGAAGACAAATATACATTTGTATTTTAGTAGAAAGGATACATACCTACAACAAGTCTACCTAAAACGTCACCATCTCCATTACGTGCATTAAGTGTAACATTACGCGCTGATTCTAGAGTTAAAGGTTGGTCCTAAAAATTGAAAAAGACAGACACTTAGTGATTTGTTCAAAACAATTAATTTTCTGTGAAGAAAATTTACAAATCCAGGAGGAAAAAAACAAATAATCAACAATACATTACAATACATAGTCCAATCAGTGAGAGAAAGGAATAACAATCGTAGTATACAGCTAAGTAGAGAAGTAAGAGTTTGAACGATTAAAATAGTCTCACTGTTTCAGCAGAGTCTTGCCATAATAAGTACATACATATTGACATAAAAATTATATGGAGAAACAAATAACCTTGGCTTTGTCTGCATCCTATTTAAATTTTGAACTTATCAGTGATACCGGTAGGGATAAATCTTATATTACCCAAATTTTGGATTCACCAACTAGGATATGCTTCTGAATTAGTGGAGTGTTCCCCTTATGTCATGAAATGAACTAAACAGAGTTACACCCACGGTGCATGTACATATATACCAAGTATTATATCAATCAAACCAGCAGTTTTCAAGAAGTCAGATAACATTTTCACCAAAAATGACAAAAATAATCACTAAAATTAAAGAATTCAAGATATTGTCATAAAATTTTCAAATCTAGTAGAGGTTTGACAAATATACATATATAACAAGCAATCTGAGTAGAGGTTTTTAAAAGCAGAACATTTAAGACTAAAAATTACAAAAATATCGTCATGGAAAGGGAGTATGGTAATATTATTCTAAAGTGGTAATAATTAATTATGGTAAAAATAAACTGAATTAAGTAAATGTATAATGGCCAGGAGACCACACATGAAGGCATGACAAAAACTAAATAACATTACAGTAGCAACAGTAATAGTGATAAAATAACTGAAAGATAAAACAAAACAAATAAAAGACATCTGCTTTTAGCAAGTAACCATATATCACAATACAATGACCTTGATTTGAAAAACACATCAACAGACATAAATACTGATGGTTTTTAACCATCCAGCAGTCATGTGTCAGAATAAGTAATACTAGATCAGAGTAATTATAAACATAAAATGGTGACGTAATGTATGTGAACCATCAGCAGGCATGATTGATTTCTACCATGGATGGCTGGTACTTCAACTCCAGGCTGCCCTTATGAACTGAGGGAGAATTGGAGCTATAGCTCACAGACAGACAGACAGACAGACAGACACAGGCATATAGATGCATGTATCATTGGATTTACACAGAATTTTAACAGTATAATGACATTTTGTCGGTAAAATGAACCCTGTAATTCCCATACTCCAATGAAATTCACTGCAGTGCTTATGGTTTAAAAATGACAGTGATTTGATTTATTGAACAATCCAAAGTAATTAGAGCCGGTCATGGTGCACTGAATAGAGGGGTTGGTGAACCCATCCACAAGGATCAACATTACATCAACAAACAGAAAAGCTAAAAATAACTACACTAGTAATCTCCCACTTCCAACACAGAATGATTCAACTGGAAAGAATTAAAGTCTTGTCACAATTGAGATCTTTTCAAAACCAATAAAGCATATATGGGAGACACTTACTTTTCTGGAAATAATCTCCGCAGCCGATAGTGGCCTCAGAAATTCACTCTCCCCCTCCAGACGCAGTCCTTTATCGGTTATTCTGAGTTTACCCATACCATCCTGTAAGATTAATAAGAGTAACACAATCAATAGTCTAGCAGCAGTGACAGTACTCAAACACTGCTGTATTTTCTTTTTTAGAATGTCCTGCATTTTGTGTGTACTGCAACAGATTAAGTAATTCCAAGAATATGAACATTTTTCATATCTGTCTACTGTAGAATACATGATTTTCGCTTGGAATTAATTTTGGTTATTTTCACTGAAGGAATGATTCAGTGAAAATAAAATCCAGCGAATATACCTTTTTTCCTATATTTTACATTTAATCTGTCAAAAATCAGTGAAAATAAATTCCAAACAAAACGCCCGAAAAATAAATTTAGCGAAAATTAATTCTTGCTAAAATAAAGTATTTTACAGTATTAGTGTAACAATCAATATCATACACATTATCGATTAAAGGGGCATGGTTCACATTATTACAATTTTTTTAAAATTTTTATTTTAACATTTTAAATCCAAAATTCACGTCATACACATGTAGTACAAAATAAAACACATGGTGCTCAGTGATGTAATGTGACATAATGAAAATTAATTTAGTTGTTGACCAAAACCTTCTTTTTCCAGCATTCTTGGTGCAGTCTACATGTGTCACATGATCATCTTTATTGTACCTCATGCGTGTTCAGTTTAGCTCAGTAACTAGACTGTCGACAGTCTGCGGGCCTAATGTAATTGTGTATCCTAGACATTCGAACGCCGAAGACGTTTGATGGGAAATGCGAACACAATATTTATTATCGGTAATAATAATAACAGATTAATATTAGATACGACCGACTGTCAACAGTCTACTGAGTAACATATGGATTAAAAAAAAAAGACAGAAAAACACAGTTTTGATTTCTTAACTCAACAAAGTCCTAAAATAAAATTCTGTTGATGATTTCATGTTTATTTTGATAATTATGTAAATAGACATACAAAATATGGGGACCCCACAGAAAGTCAGACACTGCGGCATAACGTCTATTATAACCAATGTAATTGGCTTGATACACATTCCATGGCGAATAGATACATAATCATAATTATGATACAAAATATTTGAAATAACAGACCCAAAAATGTCATTTAAGAAATAAAAGATTGGTATACTAAGTTGAAGCAATAGAGCTTGACAAATTAGATATTGAAACAGGTTTCCTATTCACATACGAAACAGACCATAAGTCTATATAAAATAAACCTATTTCATTTTGTATGATATATTACAGATATAATAGTTACACATGACAAATAATATTCTCTGAACAATGATGAATATTGTAATAATTGTATTTAATCTTTCCTGATTAATTACATAACTCATATGTGTTTTAATTATGATATACATAGCCTAGAGTTTAATTGGCGGTAATAAATCATGTGTCTTAACCATACAGCTTAGTCCCTTGTGGTTGTACACGGCTCAGTGGTTAACATGTAATTTGTACAAATCAGTTTAACTCAACCACTGCTGTAGCTAATGCACTCAACAATCCCTATATCCATACAAATCTTCATGCCTTCAGCTCAGTGCACTATTTTACATAGGATGGTCCAATACTGTATGACACTGTGAGTTCAGTGTTGTTATATTAGAACTACCCTGAACCATGTTAGCCAGGCAGGCAAACCTTTAGATGCTATTCTGCCATCACGGTATGTACTGTGAATGCATAATTATCCACTGGGTTTTAATTATGCTATTTTCGATGATTAGTGAAAATCACAAATTTAAATGAACAAGTAAAATAAAAATAAAACTTAATGTTTCCTTGACAAAATCGTGAAATTAAAACACATTGAATATGCTCAAAACATCAAAATAGTGAAATTAAATGTCAGTGAAAATAAATGGTTTTACAGTACTGAATGTACTGCATAGCCTCCTACATTTCGAGCTGCGGTTAACAAAATATGTAGAATAAACGCCATGGAAACAAATAAGCACAAGCCAAACATGATAGGAGCAAACATGAAAATTTAGGAAAATATACAGAATATTTTAATGATAAGTAAAAATAGCTTGTTAAAAATACTTTTTTTAGATTTTACGATAAAACTTAGTACGGTTACCTTCTAATTCTCTATTTTTAAAAGTATGGTTCGCTGTGATATCCAATTTTAATGTCTGGACTGTCTCAAAACATGGCCTGTGATTGGTTGAATTTGACAGCTAATCAACACCACCGTTACCAAATGTCATGGTTTTTCAAAACAAACATGGTGGCCAATCCATGTACAACTAATAAGGTTTACAATTACGTATTAATTCATCGCTTCCATGCTCGTAATTGCAAACCTTTAAAGCTGCGATTCATATAATTCCAAAGGGTTGGATTATTGTTTACGTTTTCGCAATGTAAACATTTGATTCCTTCATTATATGATCGCCCACAAACTGCATACGTGAATGAGAAGCGTATACTCATAGTTCTGGAAAAGGTGAAAGCATGTGAAGAAGTCTGACCATGTCAAAGTATGATGAAAGGCATTCCAGTAAACACACGAGTTTGTTAGAAATTATTGAGAAATGTGTTCTGTTTTTCCCACCCAGACCAAGTACAGTACACAGAAAAATGTATGTAGCCAGCTGGCTACATAATTCTTGGCTTGGCTCCCAAATTAAATAGCCTGGGAGCCTAACAATAAATTCTAATGTAGAGCGCTGATACGAACTGATGAGAGCTAAAATATTCCTACACAACATTTTCACACATGGAGTTGGATATTTCCTTTTTCACAACTTTTCCCTTTTAATCACTTATAATCAGTGAAATATTTTAAACTGATTGAAATATTAAATTAATTTATAATTAAATCTTTAGAAAAGCAGTAACTAATGCAAAATATAGATAATAAAATTTGTCTTAAGATTGTTGAAATCACTGGGCACTAGAAAATGAACGATATGTATAGTATCAAAACAATCAGACTTGCGGTTTTCAACAAGAAGTGGAAAATATCACTATTTACCAAAAATTACAAAAATATTCACCAAAATTAGAGAATTGAAGATATCATCGTGAAATGAACAAATCTGAGTGAGAACCACATGTAGTACCTATATATGTAATATCAAAGCAATTGGACTTGAGGTTTTTAACAAGAAGTCGAAAATATCACTTTTTACCAAAAATGTCAAAAATATTCACCAAAATTAGAAAATTAAAGATATCATTACA